TTTAAATATAGGCAAGGTTATGTGATACAAAGATAAGAGCTTAAGGGTTCATTTCAAGTATGAACGATTGCCGACTTTCTATTTTGCATGTGGACAAATAGGCGTCAGCTGAAGGATTTTGAAGTGTTAGGTGACCTAAGTGAAAAAGGGTATGAGGACCTGGATGAACAAGACCTCTCTTTTGGAATTTGGCTCAGAGCATCCTCGTTGCCTAGAATTGTGGAGGAATAGAAGAAAAAGGACTCTAGCTCAAGTACTTGCAGCAAAAGCCTCTTCAACATATCTTTGAGTCAGAGCGGATGTGAAACTAAAGGTAAAGAGAAAGACAGAGAAAAGGTAGATAAAGAACAAGAAAAAGACAAAAATAGTGGTAAACAAGTAGAGGAGGGCACAAAGACCAAGGAGTATTTTATACCACATAAAACCTTCTTCAATTATGAGTATATTCCATAAGTTTCTTTAGGGGCCGCATCAGATGAATTGGTTTACTTGGTGATGAACTTTTTAGATGTCCATGTTTGTAAAGTATTCGTGATATAAGAAGACTTATTATAGGATAATGTTGGGATTTCCCGTTGAATCTCTTTTATCACAATACTAGTTAATCATTAGTTTGGTTCTTTAGTCTTATAGTTAGTACACAACTAACTCAATCGCGTTATGCACGTCACATAGTTACTAATTATCTATTTATTTCCTAATTACAAGTACTTTCGCCCATACTTTGCAAAAGCTAATGCGATACTTATGGATTTGATAAAAACTTTACTTACAATATTGTGTTTTTTGTTGGAAAAAGTTATCACACGTAATTCACACCAATAGTATGCAAGCATGTAATCAAGAACCCTATAATGGTCAAAAAAGGATGTGCTTCCTACCCCAAAAAGGGAAATAGTAAGGAGAAGCCCATAACACCAATATCATGGTCTGTATACGTCATTCAACCAAGTAGCCACAATTTAGATAAATGGCCACGCGAAGCATTCCACCTTTTTTCATATTTTAAAACGTGGAAAATGATTAAGTGCAAACACCTTTGGCCAGGGAATTACAAAAAATAAGGAAAAACATAAGTCTTCTAAGACTAATTTTCCATCAACCACACCCTAATATCGATTGGCCCCTTTATCATCAACTTGACTTTGGGTTTTAGGATGACAACCTACCCTAACACATTCTAAAAGGCCTCCTTTAAAATGTCAAGAAGGTTGTCAACGATATGATTTTTTTTCTTTTGAAAAAGTTGACCCCTCTATAATAGGAGCACATTTGCCTCTAGAACAACTACAAGTCTTGTTCTTCCTTTTTCAATTAATTTTCCTTCGACTCTGAAACCTTCTTATCTTCGTCCATCGATCTTTTTTAAAAATGTGCTTACATCGTCACCAACCTTTTTCAACTTCTTGCTAACCTATGACAATTTCAGTCTAGCATTTAATGTGACATTCCTAGCCTTATCCTGTTTCATTTCAGTTTGATTAAAATCCTATAGTCGGGAAGCAATCATGTCCTAAAAAAATTTAAGTGGGTGCTTCAATTGAATATTTTCGGTTTCCAGTTTCCCCTCTTATGTGGCAAATTACTTATATGCGATAAGCATAAAAATTTTCAAAGTAAAAAGATTTACCATGTAAGAGATGCACTCTGCAAAAGATTTCTAACGACCCATTAGCCCAATATCAATAATGTGGGACGTTCCAAATTTCAAAACCAAGTCTCATAGATCCTAGGAAAATATAGTGAATGAATCCATAATGGCTGACAAGAATCTCTTAATCAGACGTGAGTTTCATCCAATGTTGGATGAGTGATTTTTTCTCTTTCAAGGGTTAGTCTAACTCGGTGACTTAGTAGCAGACGGCCAGAGTAGCCCAAAAAAAGCGATAGCCTCGAGAGTAGTAGACAGTAATCACAATAGAGGGAGGCACATCGGCATTATGTGGTATAACATAACATCCCTTTCATGCGGTCAAGTGGACATCATCAATTAAGAGTCGCAACCCCAAATATCTTAATATGAAGTTCTTGAGAGATTCTCTAAAGACTTTAAAAGCTTTGGGATATACTTAAAAGAGAAGAATCCTTGGATGTTTGAGGCCGACTCCCATATAAGGAAGAAAATGGATAAGAAAGCCTGGACCGACTCTTAAGTATCCAAATAATAACATATTATCTGATAAGCATGAATAAGGGCCAAACAGTTAGGATGAAGTTAGGATGTCGTCATCCTAAGCACGGATAAATTTCATTTTCCTTAAAAGCGATGTCGTGCATAGGGAAAAAAGGGTGTGGATATCTAGAGAAATTTTGGTTTTTGGAAAACGGAGCTTGGACGATATAATACTTAGAAGTCATGCCTATATTTATGGTTATTTCATTAAAATTTGACTCCTTTGGATTTTAATATACAAATGTGGTCCCTAAACAACCATCAACGACCCACATGTATTTCCTAGATGTGCATGATCTACCAACGGTCCTAAGGTAGGATGTTTGATCTTCTTGCTCATTACACATGTTCACACAAAGAGAAAGTTTGAGTATGAGGAAAGGAACCTCACTTACCCATCTTATTACTTTTCATGAAATGGATCAGTATTGTAATTTCCCATCATTAATGCTCACTCAGAGGTGATTGGTAAAGTCTCTAGTATAATTCTCCTATGATTAATCAATGATGGAAGGAGTATAGTCATTCCAGAGAATTTAACTCTCCCAAAAAAAGGGCGTTGTCGCGATGGAACATGAACAAAATAAATAACACAATATATCAAGGAGAACATATAAATAAAGAAAATCATGAATGGAGTAGAAAAGAAGAATTACACCTTAATGATGGTGATATCTCTAAGAAATTGCAGAAATTATGAAGACCTATTAGAGATAACAAAAAAAAAAAAAAGAACAATAGCTTTTTGGTGCACAGAGACGAGATAAGATACCAAAAATTTAAAAATATCACTTTATCTATTGTATAAAGTGAACCATGTGATTTGTGTAGATTTTATCTCTATAATAAACATTTTCTTAAACTTATTCAATGTTATTTAGTGTTTAATGCTTTTTTACCAACTACAAAATTGAAGGGGGTTAATCTAGATAGAAATGAGAATTAATTATAGATTTACATATTGGAATTAAATAACATCATATAGATGTTTATGATTTCTAGATATGGGTCATGACCGATCCTGACATTAGGTATTTTATACCCCATAAAACATTCTTCAATTGTGAGTATATCCCACAAGTTTCTTTAGGAACCGCATCAGATGAATCAGTTTACTTGGTGATGAATTTTTTAAATATTCATGTTTGTAAAATATTCGTGATATAAGAAAATTTATTATAGGCTAAAAAGAACCCCACTATAAAGTCCTAACAAATGTCCCAGACTTAAGTACCCACTATTCTAAACTTAAAAATCTCTTACTTGAGATTGTTATTATCTTACGCGTCAAGATACCTACATGTACCCTACAATTAAATTTGAGTAAAAGAACTTCATAATCTTCAGCAGAATTTACTATGAAATTTCAGTTTAGTCCCCTCACATGAACAAGAAAATCTATCACAATAAAAAATTACATGTGAAATTATGTTTGCGATATGCAACTATTTTCTTGGCTTAAATTCCAAATGTCACACTCTAATAGTAACAACTTTTTAAAATTAATATACATAATTATATACTAAAAGTTAAATTGATCGACCATTAAAATATTTGCTATAAATTTCATACTAATCATCATTTTAAACATATTCTCTAAGTAGTTTTCTTGTATTGACTTACACATTTTTATCATAAACGTAATTCCATAGCAATCCTATTACATATTATGATTGAGATGTAATCGATTTGGTTTGGATTATTTTTAGGTGAAAAAAAAATTTGAACAGATGATATTTCCATTAGTTTAGTTTTTATTGTTTTTAAAAAATTGAACCGAACCAAACAAATCGGTTTTGTTCAATTTGTTTTGCTTTGATTGTTTTATTTATACTATTTTTTTAAAACATTATCTTTATTTGTGTATTCTCTAATTTCGTATTTTTTATGTATTTTTTCTATTATTTTTAAATAATACATTTCATATAATTTATTTCGTCTATTTTATGTTATATTTTTCAAACAACTTACGAGTTATATTTAATCGATACAAAGTACTGACAAATAAAACACAACAATATATAAAAAAAAATTATAATACACATAAATTAACATGTTTCACGTCTCAAACATATATCAAAACTATTTTATAACACGATTAGAAAAAAACTTTTTTTTTAAGAATAAGCATATAAGATATAAAAAAATATATGAAAACTAACCTATAGAACATAAAAGAAAAAGGCAACCAAAACACAATAGAACAACAATGGCAAGAGTAACAATGATAACGACCAATAAGAGGAACAGTTTGGTGAAAACAAATTTTTTATGACTTAAAATTCTTACTTTCTATGTTTGAAATTTAATCGTTGTTTGTGTATTTTTTTTAAAGGCAATAAACTCAAACAAAGATGGAGAAATGTTTGGCCATCGTAAATTTTGAATCTAATAATAAGACTAATAAAAAATCAAATGATAATTATAGTTATTGATACATCTGTTTGTGATTTCTAAAATCTAAAATAAAAAACCAAATCAAACCACCTCAATTTAGTTTGATTCAAAAATTAGTTTGGTTCGATTTAAACCAATCAAAAAATATTGATTTTTTCCGATTTAATTTTATTTAGATTGTCGATTTTTTTTATATATATTAATATTATGACCAATTATGTATGGTGAGATGCAAAATGTCAAATTAAACCTGAATGTGAAATTTCAATTCGCAAAGGATATGGTAATGAATAATATTGGCATATCCCATTTCTGTGAATGAAATTCACTCCTCATTCCCTTTGGGGGGAATTCTCACCAATTGCCACGAACAATTTCTAATCAACCTTCTTCAACCTTTCACACCATTCAATATATTTGAAATTTTTCTATGGCATCTATGAACGAAGATAACAGTGTTAACGAAGATCCTCATGTCAAGGAGAATGACCCATTGATTCAGACTTATAACAAAACCAACGATGGCGGTGGTGATTACATTGATTTGGTGACGCCCCACCACGATTCTATACCGGAAACCACCGGTCTGTCTCCTCCACCGCCGCCACCTTTGTTGTATTGGGTTAAATTAGGGGTGCTTCTCCTCGCCCTTAGCGTTCTAGGTCTTGTTGTTTTCAACTGGGTTGGACCATTCTTCATTCACAAGGTTTTTTCATTCTTCTTTGATATTTATGACCAAATCATGTTTTTCATTTTATGCAGGTTTCTCTATTTCAATATGCATGATCATAATCATCAATGCAATCTCAATATTTTCACAATTTCAATTTAATAATTGTTAAAGAAATGTGGTTTAACTCTAACTCAAGAGAATTGCCGTCATTAAATAAAACTATGATCTGGCCTTGGAGCGTGGAAATAAATGGTGGATAATATACATAGCGTGGAAATAAGTAGAAGGTGATCCAATAGCAAAAACCCGATAGGGAGTGGAGATCGGGCCTCAATGAGGCTGAAGCTTGAGCGTTGCGAGATCTATGATAGACTTCCGATATCATGTTAAGAGATGTTGTTTAATCCTAACTCAACCTTACAAAACAGACTTGTATGGTGAAGATTACCCTACTTATAAGCACGTGTTCATGTTATATATTGTCCAATACGAGACTCTTAACCATAAATGTTCAATATATTTGCCCTTTAAGCTAGCTCGGTTGGTAGCCTTACGGGGAGCAGGGGCGTGGTTTTTGAACACGCGACATCTAATAGACTCTAAAAGAGAACTCTATTAAAACCCTAAGAAAACTTTAAAATTCTACACTAGAGAAAGATAAAACTAAGCTAATAAAAATAACTTTCTGTTTGATTTCTTTGAAAATTCTCAAATAACATATTACACTTCAATATATAAAACTTTAAATATATGATAGTCATCTATGTGACACAATCTTAAGGACTAAGAAATTTAATATTAAAATACTAATTAAAATATCTAAATAATAATTAATAATACTCTCTATCAACATCCTACTTATTCAACTTTAAATGGTAAAATTTTTGCCACGAGACTATTTAAAAAAAAATTGTTTAGTATATTTCTCTCTCAATTTTATAACATTCTTAAGATACAATATGCATAATTAGCTATCTCAATATAACATATCTTTATTTTTCAGGTGTTTATTCCACTAATAAAATGGCAGGAAGAGACATTCACTACCATGCAGTTAGCTATTATAGTGTTTGCTTCAATATCAATATTTCCTACAGTACTTTTACCATCTTCACCTTCTATGTGGTTTGCTGGAATGATATTTGGTTATCTTTATGGTTTCTTGATAGTAATGTCTGCCGCAGTTATTGGAGTATCACTCCCTTTTTTCATTGGATCAATGTTCCATCATAAAATTGAAGTATGTGCCTTATTTTTGATCTGAGTTGGTGCTATTCTCTTAATGTTTATATCATTTGTGCTAATTAGGATTGAAGAATTTGTGATTCTTTTTATAGGGTTGGTTAAACAAATATCCAAAGAAGGCTACTGTTTTAAGATCTGCTGGTGGAGGAACTTGGTTTCATCAGTTTAGAGCAGTTGCTTTAATAAGGATTTCTCCATTTCCTTACATACTTTATAACTATTGTTCTGTGGCAACAAATGTCCATTATGGTCCTTACTTGTGTGGATCTTTGGCAGGAATGACGCCAGAAGTAATTGCTTCGATTTACACGTAGGATCTCTTTTTCCCTCTCTCTTTTGGTTGATTGTTTGTGAGCTAGTGTTTGTTAGATTTTGTTTGAACAACTCTAAGTGTGAATATGGGCTAGAAGTCATGTGTGCGCTTGTTGTTTATTATGCGATGGAGTATTGTAAATGGCAAAGTAGACTTGTTTATACGATAGATTCAGCTTTTATGGCTTCAATTCGTAAAAAAACAAGAAAAAGGATTTAGCTTGTCAGCTCTAGACAACATTCGTTTTTACAAATATGTTACTAGCTATATAACTAGTGATAAAACATTGTGTCTTGAACTCTCTGTCTAATTCTGCAGGGGAATTTTGATACGAGCATTGGCTGATGTATCACACAAAACAAAGTTTCTATCTGCTCCACAGATTGCATTCAATGTCGTTGGCTTCTGCATAGCTATAGGTACAACAGTATTTTTCACACTCTATGCTAAGAGACAACTCGACTTGTTGCGAAGAGAAGATGAACTACTATTGAAAAAACATCATTATGGCTCATTATATATTAACTGATGCATATTGCAAAATTGGATGAGATCTTACTACTTAAGTAGCCTCACACCCTCGTCAATGAGAGGCAGATTAGGGTTACTGAGGAACAAGCTGAAAAAAGTTTTACTTCTCCTGTTGTTTCAATAAATAAAAAGGAAATGTAGAGTTTTTTTTTGGTCAAAAGAAAGTGGAGTGAAAAGTGTTCTTCGACATAATCCATTATAGTACAAGATATGTAATTTAACTTGTAATTGTTTTGGCGCGCGCACATTCTCCTGTCCTCCATCACAGATTCTGTGTCTCATAGCACAGCAGAGTATTTTTGTGTTGGTTTTTAATTTTGTTTCTTTGTATTCACCATTTGTCCAAATATTAAAAACTTGTAGTGATACTTACTGAACATATATTACATTGGCTTAAATCCAATGGCTTAAACAATTGACTCTGTGATTATTTTTTTTTCTTGTTTGGGACATGCATTGGTGTCAGTACTCTAATGTGTTGTGTTGTGTGGGAGGGTGTACCTCGAAGCTGAACCACATAATAGATCAAATACGGGATAGTCAAATCTTTTTTAAATCCACTAAGGTTCATATGGTTTATTGGAGTGTTAGAATCCGTTAAAAGACTCGTGATACTTGACAATTCAAAGGTTTATTGGTGTTCTTTGTTTGTTGTGCCACTGAATGAAACGATAATAGAGCAAAGGCGCAAATGCCGACAAGTATAACATAAATAACATGAGACGGAGGGTTCCCTCTTCTCCTTCTCAAGATCTGTGTAGGCATTCTTGAGAGTAAATTTGTCAGACTTATAATGTTTGCATTTTTTAAAATTCACAAGTGAAATGCTTGTGCTAATCCTTGAAGCCCAAATACCTCCTATAGACAAATCACTCTTTTGAAGAGATATTTGGTTGAAGTATGTTTGTAGAGGGAAAGGTACCCTATCTCATTGGTTGTCCCTAGCCAAAATATCAATGTCCTTAACCCTGCCGCTGCAATGTTCCTGCCTCATGGCTTTAAGCCGCATTGTAAGTTTACTCTTTGGCGTTCAAAATTCTAGTCCAACTTAGATTTACAACACCTTAAACTAGTTTTTGACACATTATCTGACGTTCTATAAAAACAAAAGGATTGTTCTTCCCATTTTACGGGGTTATCATCCATTCTTATGAAATTTAAAAATGTCATTCGCGAAAATTGAAATTAGAATGTGCCTATTTAACATCAAAATAACTTTAATAGAGAGGCACCCTCATTCTCTCTAAAATTAATCTGGATATTAATTTCCTAACCTCAAGACAATAAGTTATTTGACAATAAGTTTTTTAAAATTTTGACATAATAGAAGACTATTAGTTTCAAGGGGTGTGTTCCACGGTGATCGACATATGGTATGAAGCATATATTATCTACTGTGATGCAGTCAAGCTAAACTCAGAGCGTCTCGATCATCTAATTTCTTCTGAGCGGGATGATGTAGCAAACACGTGACAAATTCTCATAGTAGTCTTTCGCATGTGACGCAGTTAAGATAAACTCAGAGCGTCTCGATCATCTAATTTCTTTTGAGCGGGATGATGTAGCAAACACGTGACAAATTCTCATAGTAGTCTTCCGCATGTCGAGGCGAAGAGATGTGTAAAGTGCTAGTGAGTCTAAAAATGATTCAGCTGAAATATTAATAAAGAAGTAACACAAATATTATGAAATATTATTAAAGTAAAGATGAAAAAAATATATTACTATAAATAGACATTTTTTCTTGTGATCCGTCTAATCTTACATAAACAAAGTTCACCTAGTTTTGAATAGAGGTAAATCAAACAAGAAGTCTCCCAATTATATTTATGGATTCTCTTCAAAGTCAATGAAATATTTAAGATTGATGGCATCAACATAGATTGCACTTTTGTCCACGAATATGAACGTGTCAACCAAAAACATGAGGTATGCCCACAATGCACATCATTTATAATACACAACCCGTGCATCATTACTATTAGTCTCCATTGCCATAGCCATGTGGTATTTATACAACATCTCCTCAAACAAAAATCGGACATGAAATTCTCTAGTGTCAGCTATCTCCTTTTGGGCATTACCTAATACAACTCTCAAATAGGCCACCATCATGTTCAGTGACTCAGGTCTCCGCATTTGGAGTAATTTAATAATATGTCCATAATTGGAAGATGTAGGAGGATGTCACATCATCAAATATGATGGAGATAATCACAAATAAAAAAAAGTAAGGAAATAAAAAATTTATTAAATTGTGAGAAATCTTGAAAACTAAAAAATCTCAATTGAATGGAGTGGAGTATAAGTGGTGTCTTAGACTTGAATGCAATGCATGAGAAGTAGTGAGAAAATTTGAAAAATGATGAAAATGAAGTTTCTTCACAAGCTTTAGTTTAGATTCTAAGAAATTTTTTAAAATGAAGAAGGACGAGAAAAATGTGTGACGTAAATATAAAAATTAAACATGTCTAGAGATTGATCTTGAAAAAATTTCGGAGATTGAAATCTGAATTGTTTCAATATTGTTTTGTTCTAACTCTGGTTCAAGATTTATTTATAACTTTTATATTTTCTATTTAGCGTTTTTTTTTTGCATTTTGAATGCGTTGAAGAATTAAATCCAAAATTTAAGAGCATTATTGAATTATCATGCTAATGAATGAGTAGGCATGAAAACATAACTCGTATTTGCGGGTATCCACTAGAATCTGTCTCGAAGTTGATAGAAGAAAATCCGCTTTGACTGAGTTTCGATTCGGGTTTGAATTTTCCCCAATAAAAAAAATATGGGACGAGTTGGGTAATTGAGACACCTGTATCCATCTCAAATCCGTCTTGTTTATTTCATTATGTACATTATTATTTAGATGAGGTCCATGTTTTGATATTTTGATTTGTATTAATTATGTAAAATATTTGGAATATATGTATGAAATTTTTTGAGATTGTTTTATTTTATTATTTATAAAATGTAATTTAATTTTGAAAAAAAATATTTTTATTAAAAAATTGATTTTATTAAATAGATGGTGGTATAACGGTGACATCCGAACGCACTTGAATATGTTTAAAACGAATTTGGATTTTAATTCTCAATTCCCGTATTCTCGTTAAAACATGAAACATGATTCAATTTTTAGTTTAGAGGAGATAAAAACCACATGCTTTATTGGGATGCCTATGAATGAGCAACATATACCGTGAAAACAACAATCTTCAAACAAAATCAAATTGTGACTTTTTTACTGTCTTACCCCTTATTTGAAAATAAAATCTCACTTTACCCCATCTTTAAAAAATGTCTCAATATATCTTCAATTGATGCATAAACTCGGTCATTCATTGGCCATGGATACACTGCGTTTTCTTTTTTATGTATACCATTGGTCTTTCATTAGACTAGGGTTTAAATATTTTTTTAATTATTTTTTTTTGTTATTTTAATATTTTTAATTAAAATAATTTTAATTTTAGTATTTTATTAATAAAATAATAATTTTTAGTTTTTAAATTATAATTATTTTTTTAAAGATTATGTTATAAAATTTATGTCTCATTCTTAAAAATGCATCTTATTCTTTTAATGTTATAATGAGATTATAATTATTTTAAAATTTAATGTTATCTCATTCTTTTAATCTCATTTTTTAATAATTATAATGAGATTAATATTTTATCTCATTCTTTTAATCTATCTCATTCTTTTTATTTTTGAAGATTATAATTATTTTATAAGATTTTATAATTGTTTTATAAATATTAATAAAATTTAACGGTATACTATAAAAATTTATCTCATTCTTTTTCTTTGTTTAGTTTAATAGTTTTATAAGTAGTTGAAGAGAGTCTAATTGAGTGATATAGATTTTTATATTTATAATAGAGTAATATAGTTTGATTAAATTACAGTTTTGTTCCTTCTATTTTAGTCAAATTACGAAATCAATCCTTTTATTTTTTTTTTAAACAGTTTTGATTTCTGTATTCATTTTTTGTCTAAAAAACACTGATGTGTCATTTATTTTGTATAGGTGGCATACATTTTGAACGAGAGAGAACATAAAAAAACATTTTTTTGTAAATGAGGAAGACAAATGAACAAGTCGAGAGAGAAAGAAGATGAAGAAGACAATTGGAGAAGACGACGGAATGAACAAAACATTGTCGAAAATGCAATGAATAATTAATTTTTTTTAATGCAAAGTCAATAAAAGTATATCACGTATCTAAAAACTAGTACACCACAACGTTTTTTTGGATAAAATATGGACAGGGGACCAAAACTGTGTAAAAAATAAATAAAATGACTGATTTCGTGAATTTGTCAAAATAGGAGGATTAAAGCTGTAATTTAACCATATAATTTTTAATTTAATGTTATATTATAAATTTAACTTTATAACCAAAATTGAGTCTAATAGAGTGATATAAATTTTTTATTTTTAATCAAGTTTGTGGACTAATTGAAGAGACATTAATTTATAAGGAAGCAAGTTTGAAAGTATACCACTGTGCTTTTCATTTAAAAGGGTTAAATTTTACTCATTAAACTATTAAAGAAAAAAAGAATGAGATAGATTTTTATAATATAACATTAAATCTTATTAATATTTATAAAATCTTAAAAAATAATTATAATCTTCAAAAATAAAAAGAATGAGATAAAATATTAATTTCATTATAATTATTTAAAAAATAAGATTAAAAGAATGAGATAACATTAAATTTTAAAATAATTATAATCTCATTATAACATTAAAAGAATGAGACATAAATTTTATAATATAATCTTAAAAATTAAAAATAATAATAATAAAATGTTAAAATTATAATTATATTAATTAAAAATATTAAAATAACAAAAAAATTAAAAATTAAAAAATATTTAGATCCTAGTCCAATAAATAGCCGAAGGTACACATAAAAAAACATTGTGTATCATCAGCCAATGAATGAACCCCTATGCATCAATTGGAGGCATGTTGAGACTTTTTT